ATCAATATTAGAATTAAACACACTTATCAATTTGGAGATCCTTTGGTCTTTTTCGTGAAAGAATTGAGGTTAGCAATCAAATGGACCACAGAATTGGAAGATTTTGGTCATGAAAGAATTGAGGTTAGAAATCAAATGAATCACGGAATTGGAAGATTTTGGTCCCCAGGTTTAGGGTTTAGGTTTCAAAGATTCCAAATTATCTAAAAATGAAACAATATTATTCTTGCTGTTAAAACAATTAACGTTGACTGTTAAGCACCACGAGGAGGGAGAATGCAACTTGATCACTATTTTTTGTCCACATCACTTATTTTGTCCCTTCTCTCTTTCATGCCTCTTTCCCCATTTCCACGTCATTTCTTTCTTTGACCACCATTAGGACCATCAATAAACTTTTCTTTTCTTTTTTTTTTTATTTTTTAATGAATAATGGGCTATAAAATTACTTCAAAAATAATACAGTACGCCAAAGATTTAAACTTTTCTTTTTTTAAAATAGAAATAATAACAGAAAAAGAAATGAGATTTCTTTGAGCCTCGCAAAAAAAAAAATAAAAATGCATTTATATAAACAATCAAGCGGACCGAGGACATCATCCATAAGCCCAGTCCTAATATATTCAGGATCTCAAGTATGCCTTTTTAAATGTTTTTTTTTAATATCAACTTTCTAATTTTATTTTCTTTAGTCATTGTTGCTAACATGTCTTTTTCAAATATCCTTTATAATGTCTTAATTTACCAATTTTATTTTTTAAAATTATTATCTTTTACATAAAATAAGATATATTTTCATATTTTGAAGTTCCAAAATTATAGAGTTTTGCATTTTTCACGATTTTTCAAAAATAAAATAATGTAATTATGGTTTTTTAAAAAAATTATAAAAAATATAAAAATTTACCATTTTGGTATTTCAAAATATAAAAATATCATTTATTTTATTTAAAATTTATTAAAAAAAGGAAAACCAAAAAAATTTGCCCTGAAGGAAAAACAAAATTGAAAAATAGAACCATGGGCATTAGAGACACTGCGACAAAATTAAACATAAATTATGATTAATTTTGCCTATAAATGACAATTATTAATGATGTTTATTTAAATACCCATAATTTATTATAAAAATAAATGATGGTTATTCAAATGAGTGTCATTTACTATATGTTTTTTTTAAATAGGAGAGTTGTTATTTATATCAACCCTTGTAACAACTACTTAAAATAGTTTCAACAAATAGGCATTTCAACATTTACAAATATGAATATCAATAGAATTGTACTATAATCAATTGCAAGGAGAATTAAAATCTCATCTCTTATTCTAATTTATCAAGTAAAAAAATATTTAAGATTTTCTAAAGTAAAATAAATTTTAAAGTAAACTAACTAGTAAAACTATAAACAATAATCCTAACTATTTCTTCTAACTCTATTGATTTTTTTCTTTATGCAAGGTCCACACTTAAAACATGTATTGACATCACTCTTCAATTACTTCATTTATTTGTGCGTTTCTAAATTCTTCAATGTAAGAATCCTCATAGTACTACAATATAAATGAGCCACCGTAAATTAATTTTAATACATTAAATTTATTAGCAATTATAAAGTGAATGTTGTTGACATACCGTTTGAGCAATTATGCTCTTATTATGAATAATGAAATCCTTCATGAATCTCATCACGCAGAAGATACAATCCAAGCTATTTTTTATTTGTCTCAGGTGTTACAAATTAAAGAATCAAATAATATGTATTAATGCATTAAAAAGTTATGAATATTATGTTTAAATTCAATAATGTTTCTAACTACCTTTATTATATTTCAAATATAGGCCGCATTAAAATTTGTAAATGATCTTAGAATTGATTGAATTACGTTTGTGCGGTATAACACAATCACCTTAATAAAATAGTCAAAAATATGTCAGTATGGAATTTAAATAACTAAATAAATATATAAAATATTTTATACACTTACATATTAATCAATTTCAATAAAAGTTCTCGATTCCCTGGTTGTCCTCCAAGAGAATTGAGATAATATATCTTTGAAGTATTGATGAATGGTTCGATGGTGATCAACATGTGGTTCCTAATAGTATTAACAAGTTTTACAAAATTATAATTAATTAATTAAATTACAAATAATAAATTCACAAAGATAAGTAAGAAGTAGGTTACCCTTGGCAATATGGTATTAAGAATAATGTCCCCCTTTGAGCCCTTGCTTTAAAATTTTTACTTAATTATTTTGCTTGATCTAAAATCTTGTCTTTTTTAATTAAAGCATATGCATCAATCTCATGGGGACTAATGAAGATGAACTTCATTTGTAGATAAAAAAGGACAACAAATTTTTTATATAAGCACCAGTCATAAATATTTCAAATGGATTAGTATATATTTAAAATAATAATTATTCATATATTAAAAAAATTATTATATATAAAAGTTGAGAACAATGAGGCTAGGTATATTGTGTTAAAATACTTCATCAATAATAGCGAGCAAAAGCATATATTATCATGGTTCACCATATATTTCATCCTCAAACAGGATTTGTAAGATCGAAGGACCTATAAATTATTGTATACACTTGAAGTAAATTTTGATATTGGTTGGATAATTGAGGCTCTTATTTAAGAGCAACTACATGGGAGACAATTTTTGAGAACTTAGATCGGGGTATGGTCTTTTTCTTATATTGTGCATCTTTATTTTTTTTTTTTTAGACTTGGCATCTTAATTTGACTAACTTGCCATTCAAAAAAACTACCCATCACCTTTCCTATAATCCTTGCATCTTTAGTAGGAATGGGTAATGGATATTTGATATCTTTAGCCACATCAATAACAACTCATACATAAGATATTGGGAGTGACATATTATGTAACATGTCTCCTGACAAATTAAATATTCGATCAATAGTAATCACGTGACAATTCAAACTATTTGCCAACAACGCATATATATTCTCATCATATATTAATGAGTAATATACTATATTAAGGCCATGAAAAATAGAAATAATAAAAAATAAGTGAAATAAATAAATAATATTTTACTTCAGGAAAATTTTTAATAGGCTAACTACTTTTCTCGCTAGGCTAATATGAAACTCTTTCTCTCTCACCTCTCCTTGTTCTTTAGCAAGGTTTCAATTATATCATGTTGCCTAGATAGCTCTTCTTTTGGTGTGACAATCTCAGTATTTGCACCCACATCTTTTATTGACTTTATCTTTTTCAAACATCAATTGTCATTCATAAATTTTATTTTAAAATTCACAACTTTTTTTCTTAAAATTATAATAATTCAACAGTAATTTGCAAATTTACATTTGAAATCCTGATATTCCTTAAGTTTTATAAATATCAATTATCATTCATAAATTTTGTTATAAGATTAATAATTTTTATTTTTAAAATTATAAGAATTCCATAGCAATTTGTAAGTTTGAATTAAGGGTAATTTAATCATTTATATTAATTTTTTAATAACAAAAAAGTCTCTAAAAAACTCAAAAGAATTATGGTATTTTAAAAAATTAAAATATTATTTATATAATTTAAAAAAATTTTATTATCATTTTTCCTGCTCTGAAAGGATGTCAATCAATTTTTTTCCCCTTGCTTTGGATATCTCTGGTTGGAAGTATTACCAAAAAGTTGGATTGCACAGTGGGTGCCTCTGGACTGTAAGAGTGTAAGGGCTTAGCTTTTCCAAACTATGTCACTTTATCAAACTGTATTTTCCCTGTTTAGTTTTGTAGTTGTTTCTTCTTATTAAAAAAATCAGAATTTGACTTTTACTAATTAGATTATGCTTCAATCTAACAGAAACGAAGTTCAGTACAATAATAATTAAAAAAAATAAAACATGTCAATTTGAACTTAAACGAGTCAGCCCTAATAAGATTGGAAATAAATGAACCAGCCTTTAATGTTGACAGTTGGTCCGTTTCAGCTTGTATAAATATATATATTTACTTAAATATTAAATAAAAAAAGAAGGTTAAAGTGGTATTCGTCTATTTGACAAAAAGAGAGAGGGAAGAAACAATTTTTAAAAATAAAAAAAAATAAAAAACCCGGGCCTTAATCTATCACTCTCTCAATTGGCTTCTCTCCTCCAAGAAGCCTCCTTTATAATTGGGAAAAATTTGAATCATTCAAATATAATTTAAAAGGTTCAAATTTAATGCATTAATTTTTTTTATTTATTAAAATACAAATTTTTATAAATCTTTTTGAAAAAATCTGCTCAGTAATCTATATAGTTCAACTTTAATACGAAAGATCCAAATTTAATATTAAAAAATTTTAGAATTATAAAAAAAATTAAATATTAATATTAATTTTGCAATGTCCAAAATAGATTTGAATAGTCTATTTATAAAAAATTTTAATATTAAATCTAGATCATTTATAATTTTAAAAATTTATAATATTAAATTTGAACCCTCCACATCAAATTTAGATTGTACAGAATGAAAAGATTTATTAAAATGTTTTTTTAACATCATATCATCTATAAAATTTATACTCCCCTTGACCGCATACATATCATATCATATATAAAATTTATAGAAAGTTTAATAAATTATGAATAATAGAGGATCCAAATTGTTCTGGTAAGTTTACTCAATAATGTATTTTGTATATTCCATTCGATTTCAACGCTTAATTTAATCTTTACACATGCCTGCATGCACGCACATAGAGAGAGGCATGTATATCTCAGCTAAGCTTCAAACTCGTGATCCATAATGAAAAATGTTAAGCTATGATTTTTTAGCTCAATTAACTTGCCATTTCATTGTTTATTTTTTCCTTTTTTGAAATAAAGGAGAATTAGATAAATTTTCCAAATTATAATGTGCTAAAATATAGAGTAAGTGTCCGACCACCAAAGGTAATCAATTAAATTAGTATGGTTGGGAGACAACAATTAGTATGGGCAAAAATCAATAGCTAAAAGTGGAAGCCAGATTAAGGAATTTATAAGCATTGATAATCATTTTAGAAACATTGTTATCCATTGGTGGCTACACCTACAAATCACAGAAATAGTGGGGCACAAACAAGTATATAATAGTTGCCCAATGATTTTTGTAGACGTAAGAACAGTTTCCACTGAAATTGAAACGTTCAAATACAAGGCACTTCAGCAATTAGAGACTTGCTTAAGAACTTCCATCTAGAAATGGATAGTCAACATATCCAACGACTGGATCAGGAACATAAAATGTGTCTCTATTATACTTGTTGAGAGGAGCATCAAGCTCAAATCTTTTGGGCAAATCTGGATTGGACAAGAACCAGCGACCATATGCGACAAGATCTGCCCGGTTCTCAGCCACAGCATTGTTGCCCTCTTTGCGGTCATAGCCTCCGGCGACAATGAATGTGCCATTGAATGCCTTTCTCATTGGTACAAGATTATGAGGGGTCTCAAATTTTTCTCCAACAGTCTTCATTCTTGGCTCTACCATGTGACAATACAGGATACCATATTTGTTTAGAGCATTTGCCATGTATAAGCCGAGTTTTTCAGGATTGGAGTCTCCACATTCACCATAACTTGCAAAAGGCGATAACCTAATTCCAACTCGCTCTGGTCCTATCTTGTCTGAAACAGCTTTAACAACCTCCAAAGGAAACCGACAACGATTCTCTAGTGATCCACCATATTCATCTATTCGATCATTGACTTGATCTTTCATAAATTGGTCAAGAAGGTAACCATGGGCACCATGAATCTCAACCCCATCAAAACCTACAATTTCACAAGTATTATCATTTTAAACTGGTTGCGTACGGTAATATTGTCAAACATATACATAGAAATTTAGTGCCAGTGTCCAGTGCAACCTAAGTGTTACATCTCCCCTAAAAAAATATAGTGCTTCCAACATGACTCTGCCTTATATCCACTTTCAGTCCTTCTAAATCAGTAAAAATTTCAATTTGGTTCCATGTGGTTCAGACAATATTGTCCTTCATTCCGTTACAACATTGCCCCTCTATTTTTAATGTGGAAAACTCTTGCCATTATGTCACGTTATTCATCAAAACATGAATGCCAGTCTAACAGGCTGTTAACTTAGATGTTACTCCCTCCATTTTTATATATATAAAAAAAAAAAAACTGCATCACACAATTTAAGAAAATTAGTTAACCATAATAATTATGTCTAAAAATAAAGAAATTGGACTAAAATGTCCTATGTTAATCAACATAAGCATGCATTAATTATTTCTCATTAATGTAAATTATGAGGGGCGATTTAGGAAATGTGTAATAAATGCTTATTGAAATATGTGATTTTGCTTGTATTAAAAAACAAGTAAAAAGTGATAGTTTCTCTTATAAATAGAAACGGAGTAGTATCTTTGTACCTGGCACCATTAACTCATTGTTAGATTTGACATCGGAGTTAACAAATTGTAACGTTTGATGTGGAATATTGGACGCAAATGTGAAAAAGGAGTGAATTGATTTCTCTATAATTTTTTTTTAACCTATGTTGACACTCAAACGCAACAAATAGGAAAGCAACATTTACTTAGGTACCCAATTGAACCTTTAGTGAAATTAGAAGGACCAAGATGGTATTGAAAACTGCTTTTATAACTTGAAGGAATGGATTAAAACAAGCAATGGAACGATTTGTAAAACCAAATTGGGAGCAATCTTGGCATAGCTCAGTTGTAAACATAATTCATGGAACCAAATCAGACTGGCTGATTCAACCATTAAACCATTAAACTAGATCCTGGTCCAGTATAAAATGCTTCCAAAACTAGCCTAGTTTAAAAATGGTCAGAAACTGTTAAAGCCAGTCCTAAACTAGTCAAAATTGATAGACATTAGTCAATAACCAGTAAGTAGTGAAAACTAATTTTCTACTTTTTTATGTAACATTTTTTATATATAAAATAAAAAAAATATTAATTTCATTATAACTAATTCAACTATGTTCAAAACAATAGAACCTCATACTTCTACTGGTTCAATGACTAGTATGGTTTTGAAAGCATTATTTGAAATAACCGGCCATTCTAGGCAATACTTATACTTTAACACATTTTAGTTAGTGGAAGTACCAGCTTCTATAGCATTCCTTGCAGCAAGTCTGAAGTCATTAATGACGTGAGGAATTTCATCTGTCCCCAGCCTCCTTGGTGGTGTAAATTGTGCAACATCAATGCCATTAGCCCGAAGTTGTGGAGCTAGTCCCTTGTCTGTACAAGATATAGGGGCCTGCCCATTTGGTTGGTAACCTGTTAAAAAACAATGTAAGATGGAGAGATATTGGATATAAACATCAAATTCATTCAAGACTTAGGAAATTGGGGATAGAATGAACACAAATGTTTTAGCAGAATTAGGTTCATATTATCATAAATTTCAGGGTCTGAATTTGAAAACATAAGAAAAGTCATTAAACATACTATGATGCACATCCCAAAACTCATAATACTTAAGGAAAAAACCACACATACAGGCATACCACATTGCTTCCATAAAGAGGTGTAGCTTAATTGTTTTCCACCTTTTCTTAGAGAGAGCATCGCCATAAAGCTTTTCACCACAACAGAGAACTAGACAGAAGTTTTTTATGTTTTCCTTTTTCAATTTTTATTTATTAATTTATCTTGCACACCAGGAGGAGGAGTGAACAGGTCCTTCAAGTATAGTGCTTTACTTGAACTGATTTAATTGATGCCATAGAAAAATGTATGCAAATACGAAAAGATCCTTTAAGACATGGGGCTTCAGCCAACAATTTCCCATCGACTTATTTGCCATTGAGATATCTATACCATTCAGGTTTTCTTTTGATTACCAAATTCTTGCAGTAATGACACATTTATAATTTTGCATTCAGGAAACTGATGTAAAGTGAAAACCATACTTGTTATGGTAAAAATCCGTAGATTTAAACAACAGGCAGCAGAGAAGAAGGCAGCAAAAGACAATGTAACTATTCCCAAGGAATAATTGACATATAACGTGGTTTTAGGCCATTCAGAGTCATAATCCACAGGAAATATTCCAAAACTGTCTTTGTACATTCAACACGACAGACAGATAATTTTCTACCTAATATTTCCAGATCAGAAGATAAGCGTAACAGGAATGCACCTGAATTTGAAACCCTTCCAACATGCCAAATCTGACAAAAGAATATACCACCTTTAGCATGGACAGCATCCACAATGGGTTTCCATGCTTCCACTTGTTCTTTTGTCCATATACCTGGTGTTTGAGGATACCTTCACATTGAAAAAGAGGGGGAAAACATTTTGTGAAACTTATTAGCAATCAGAGACACAAATAACCTTAAGAATTGTAAATTATAAAGTCCACAAATTACCCTTGAGCAGTGTCAGAAACACCAGTAGCTTCAGCAATCAGAAGACCCCCTTTGGAAGTTCGCTGAGAGTAATATAAGATAGCATGGGGCTGGGGAACATTATTGTAAGATCTCTGTCTAGTCAGTGGAGCTAAAACAACTCTGAATAGCAAGAGACAACAAAATTTCAGTTAAAAAAAATCACGGAAAGTTCAACTAATTCTTAAAGTAATCAGATATGATCAATTTTTCCTGTGCCATACAATGTTCCGTGAGGCCCAATTACGATTCTTATCGGCCATTGAGTGTTCATTCACCAAATGGAAAACGAGAAATTTCCCTATTCCAGTACACTACACTACTCGTGGATGCAAGTAATTTTTCACAGGGCACAATAGAATATATGGACATGAGGAATACTATATCCTGCAAAATCGTTGAACAAAGTTCAAACATTGTGACTTCAAAGTAAGACTTACAGCATGACCCATACCAATGTTCAACAGGGATTTCGCACAAACAATTGATCCGCATGAGTTCACAGCAGAAAAAATGGAATGAATCAGTAAGGAGCATGAGTACCTATGGGATAGATTGAAATTGCCCATCTTGTAAGGTGTAAGAAGAGGAATAACGGGAGCTTCCGTAGCCATTTCTGCACAAAACTACAAGTATTTTTTTTTTTTTTCTCGGCGAAGTTATTATCGTTCTGTTTCTTCTGATGGTGTTGTGAATATTGACGAAGACTCAGCCGAGTATAAATATAACTGAAATTCACTCTGAAAAATGAGAGGCAACGTTGAGGGGCCTATTAACGTTCGACAGCGTAGATTGGCGGATGACGCGAGGGAGTACGTTTGCATCCCGGTGGCGACCACCCAATAATATGGTCGGAACCTTTTTTTTTTTGCTTTTTGTTTTTGGGGAATTGCATTGAGTGCCCTTCCGAGAGGATTGCGCATGTATTTGTCAAGTAGGACTGTAGGAAGCATCTCATTGAGGGCTCTCTGAATCAAATCAAACCAATAGCACGTAGGGTTCAAAATATCCTGAAAACTGTCTCGATGGCAATTATTTTTTTTTAGTCTAATTATCAAAATACCCTTAAATTTTATAAAACAAAACAAAACAAAAAACCAACCATCATTGGTAGAGCCGTTGATTAAAGTCGAGTCTATTGAGTTGGCCTTTTTAAGCCAAAAAAAATCTAAAATCAGGTTGTTATTTTAAAATGCAAAATAATAATTTGAACTTAAAATGCTCTTTAGGGTTAAGGCCAGCCTTTTTAGGTCTTTTTATATTTTTTTTTTAAATTTTAATCTTAAAAAAATTAAATATTATGTTAATTCTAAAACCATAGTCTTATTTTATTTGGATGAAGAAGGAATATATAAAAAGTCTAATATCTTTATTATTATTGAGGCTCCATAAAGAAAATGATATAATTATATTAGTGTTGATGATAATAAAAATCATCAAGATTTTGCTGACAATGCTAACAAAGTCTGATTATTATTGATGTTGATTTTGTAATATTGTTATTTTTTATTAGACTTAAATTTATTATTATGTGTATTGACTTAAATTTATTTTCATAGATTAAATGTCACGTGTAATAACTTTTTTTAATTTTAAAAATATTATTTAAAAAAATTTAAATTAAAAAATATAGGGCCAAGGCCCTAAGGGCCAGGGTCGGGCCGGCCAAACTGAAGCTCTAAGGAGTAATCGAGCTTTATAAAATCAACCTGTTTAGACCCTAACACTTCAAGGGTTGACCCTAATTGACACTTCTAATTATTGGATAGACCACCATTGCCTTAGAGGCCGAACCTCCATTGCCAACAAGTGGTCAATAGTGGATCAACTCAAGAAAAGGGCCAAAGGATGATTTAATCCTTGACCTCTTGGGCATTAATAATTGTCATTGAATCACAAAACACTTTTAGTTATATATAACAAAATATAATATATATTATAACTTATTTTTAAATGTTTATATGATTTGTTGTTCATCATGGATATATTATTGTTCATATCCAAACTATCATTTGTACATATGTGAACATGACTTGTTCATACATAAAAAAAAAAATTATCAATTTTTAAACCTAACTTTTTTCAATTTTTTGAAACAACTTGTTCAATTCAATATTGATATTTTATCAATATTATGCTAAATAAAAAAATATATTTCCTCTGTTAAAAAATGTAAGGTATTTTTAACTGAATATCACCCCTAATAAAATAGTTACCTACTTTCAAACTAACTCTATCTTTTCATATTTACCCCTATTAAATACCCTACAATAAGTATAAAGTCGGAATACTTTTGAAAAAAAGGTAATGATTATACCTCAAAAAATTAAAAATGTTTTATATTTTTTAACATTTAACTCCTCAAAAATGCCTTATATTTTTGAATGGAGGGAGTATATATTATAAATTTATTTTTCAAGCATGTTTATCGGATTTAGTTATCCATGGATGCATTGTTATTGATATTCAAATAATCACTTATACATATATGAACATGACTTGTTCATACATAAAAAGTTGTCAATTTTGTGAACCTAACTTTTTCAATTTTTTTACCAATTTGTTGTTTCAAAATTGACATTTATCAATATTATATATATATATATATATATATATATATATTGTAAATTTATTTTTCAAGCATTTTTAAAAGCTTTAATTAATCATGAATACATCATTATTCATATTCCAATCATCACTATATATATATATATGAACATGACTTGTTCATATATAAAAAATTGTTCATAGACAAATAATCTCCTTGAGCCTGCAAAAGAGTTTCAAAATATTTTAAACCCTACATGCTATTAATTTGATTCTGAGAGTCCATTGACTCTCCCTTATCTCATCTTTTGTAAAATATAATCTTGGTTACTATTCATCATACAGTAAAAATAATAGTAACAATAAGGTGTCATTATTTTATTAATTATGGTGCGTTTAGCTTTTTTAATAAATATTATTATAGGATATGATTTAATCAACGTGTTGTGTGGGCTTGGGTTAAAAATTTGTTCTGAACTTTTAGTTTTAAATTAGCTCAAATAGAGTCAGGAATAAGGCCGAACTTAGAGAGTCGAGTTTGAAAGTCCTATTTAAATAAAAATTCAGGTTTTAAAAATAATTTTTTTAAGGACTTGAGGGCTAGGCTCTGATACAACCCTTCAAGTCCTATTATATTTTTTTTATGGAATATATGTTTGAAACCAATGACTTGCTCACATGATCTTACAAGTATTATATTAGTATTAATTTTAATTTATTCTACAATTAATTTAATATAATTTAATAAATATTAGTGTATAGTATAAATTTTTAATATTTTTTATTTTTTATAATTATTATGTTTGTGTATTTATAAAAAAATGAACTATTTTTTAACCAAAATTTGAATTTTATTACTATACTTTTAAATATGTGTTGTTTAATTTTTAAAAAATTATGAGAATTTTATTTTTTTAATTTTAAAATATTTTAATTAATTTATAATGATTAATTTTATTTTAATTTTTTTAATTTTTTAAAATAAGGCTTGCGGATCTGACCCTAAATCTTTCACATAAGAATTGAGTTTAAAAAATAGGGTTAAAAATAAAGAATTAAACTTTAAAACTTAAGCCCATAAAAGTTAAACCCTTAAAAATTGAGCCCGTCCATTTTATTAGCTCTAAGCCCAAACATTGAGGATATTGATTTTGCTTTGAGATGGGAAGATGGTGAGTTCCCTCACGTTTCTTTTCCACGACAATTTTTCCCATTTTATTTATTATATTTTTGAGTTTATGTTCTATTTGTTTAAGTCAATTGTATCTTTCACTTTCAATGGGTCTTTCACTTCAATACTTTTGTGCTAAGCTTTGCAAATTTGTCGGCTTTGATTTTATTTTTGTTTTCCTTTTTATTCGTCTTGTTATATTGTTGTGCGCAATTTGTTACATTTTGTTGCTGTCTCATATAATTAAATAATACCTAAAACATCTACTGGAATTGGGATCTTATAAACTATAATCACAATGATAATGAATTAACCTGTTTAAAAAAAGAGAGAAAATTAGATTAAAGAAAATTAATTATAGAAAAAATTGATTACCAGACTATGACAATGTTTAAATGATTTTTCAAATTCAATTATAAATATGAAAATTACAGAAAAAAATATATTCATTTTATAATATAATATTGACAAAATTAATCTACATGAAGGGGTAAAAATGGAGAAAAATGCTCAAAAGTGAAAATCAATTCTCAAATGGGAACAGAGAGTAACTTATGCCAAAATTGAGTTTAAAGGAATAAATAGAATTTGGGAAAATGGAAAACATTGAGTGTTTTGTGTGTGGGTGGGTATGTGTGTATGTATTTTAAACTATGGATTGCAGGTCCATAATTAATTATTTGTGGCTGTCCAAGCACCACCTTTTTGGTTGCTGATATATAACGTTAAATAATATCTAAAAAAATATATTGGAATTGGGATATTATAAAATATAATGATAAGGATAATGAAAATGAATTAACGCGTTTAAAAAAGAGGAAAATGGATTAAAGAAAATATTTTTAGGATGAACATGTGTTTGGTTACATTTCAATTCAAGCCCATTTATATAATTGATGTCATAAAAAATAGAAATTATAAATATCTTCCGTCGGCCAAAAAAAAAAAGAAATTATAAATATATTCAGAGTTGAGAGACTTTTAAATCAATCTCGCAAAAGCTATTAGCAATTATTGCACCAACGCATCTGCTCCAAAATATTTTCACGGTAAGTCTAAATAAAATAACACTAAATAAACAATAATCTATAAAATAAGACAATCACATATTCTACCCACTCGAAAAAGAAAAAAGAAAATACAAACATCTCCCACATAATCATTTAATTAATTCCCATGTGTCACTACATAGTACGGGGGCCAAAATCCAGTTATGCTTTAATTTGGTTTAATTTGATTTGATTAAGAGTGAAAGTATATATCTTATGGGATCCATTTAATTATGTTAAATGATTAAATGACTTGATGAATGTAATTTGAATTTATTGATATAAAGTTTCCTATCTTGTTTGGGTTTCTTATTCTTCCCACATTCCTATGCTTTATAAGTTCGCTTTGAATAAATTCTTACATGAACTTGGTGTATTATATCAATTGTAAACTATTCAATAAAATATATAATTTTAATTAAATAAAATTTTACGTGTTATTATTTTTAATAATTTTATTTTTAAAATAGGATATGTCTTTGATTTCTTGTCTTCTCTTTCTCTAAAATCATCAATACATAATCAATTTATATTTACATTCGCATGACATGGCATATTTTTATTAGATAATTTATAAATGAGGTGATACGCCAAATCTATACAAAAAAAAAAAATGTTCACCATATCAATATATATATATAAATACACAAATCAAGTAGAAGGTCACTTATTGATTAGAATTTCTTTAATGCTATTGGTCAATTAATTTTTGTTAAATTTTAATTCTTTTTATTCATTGGTTCATTTTATTTGTCATGTATCTCATTATTAAATTTTAAATATAAAATTCAAATTTTATGAGAACAGTAACTCTATCCATCTCAACTTTTTCATTTATCTCACGTCTCTCAATATTATTCAGTCTCTATTTTTAAGAATTCATGTATTTCATTATTAAATTAAATTTTAAATACAAAATTTAAGTTTTATAGGAGTAGTAGGATCCATCTCAACTTTTTTATTTATTTCGTGTTTCTCAATATTCTCTCGTCTCTATCTTTAAGAATTCATGTATCTCATTATTAAATTTTAAATATAAAATTTAAGTTTTATAGGAGTAGTAACTCCACCCATATCAGCTTTTTCATTTATCTCGTGTCTCCCAATATTCTCCCATATCTATCTTTAAGAATTCATGTGTCTCATTATTAAATTTTAAATATAAAATTTAAGTTTTACGTGAGCATTAACTCCATCCGTTTTAGCTTTTCCATTTACCTCGTATTTCTTAATATTCTCCATTCTCTATCTTTAAGAATTCATGTATCTCATTATTAAATTTTAAATATAAAATTCAAGTTTTATAGAAGCATTAACTCTATCCGTTTCACCTTTTTCATTTATCTTGCATCTCTCAATATTCTCCAATCTTTATCTTTAAAAATTTATGTATCCCATTATTAAATTTTAAATATAAAATTCAAGTTTTACAAAAGCAGTAAATCGTCTCAGCTTTTTTATGGAGTGCCAATGGTATGGGCTTGAGTATTTGAGGAAGTTTATTGTACCTTTTGCTGAACATTTTTGTTGTCACTTGTACTGGATGATAGAAAATTATCTCGTACTCCACTACCACAAAATGAAATAAAAATATATTGATTTGTAGAATTTTTTCACATTGTTGATGAGTGTTTATCTATATTACTTGGCTATATCTATATTATTAGTTATTTACAATTTTCTTGTATAAAACCTTAGCAATTTACAAAGATTAATTCTTTCACTTTTAAGTTATTAGATATATAATTATATACAATTTCAATGAAAAAAAAACATTTGTGTTATAATTTTTCTGACAATAAGCTATAAACATGAAATCAAAATCAGAAATATAATTATGTTTTATATATTTCAAATATAAAAAAAGTACACAATTTACATTTTTTGCATCATTTAAAAAAAATAAAATAAAAGGATACCTATCTAGAAGTTTTCGCGCCATAATTATGTATGATGGAATTATAAAAAATTTAATCTTTTTAAACTATATTTATAATTTACTATAGGTTTGAGAAATAAAGACAAGATGTATATGAATAAATTATTTAAGAAGAAGGAAAATGATTAAATAGAAAAACTTCTAAAAATTTAGCAATCTTGGATATGTTGATATAAATAGTATTCAAGGTGTTTGTTTCAAGTTTTTTAAATCCAACATGTGCAACCCACGGATAACTGTCTAATTCTATTTATTAGTTGTAATTATTTCATCGATTAAGTTTTAGTATTTTTGGGAATCTTCCCTTCGTTTCCAGATACCCCAAATGAATCGAGACGGCATACACACATCACAATTCATCCTTGAAATTGTCTCTAGCTTTTCATCATGGATCGAAATGAGAGCCCCATGATTGATATGAGATTGTCAATATCTTCGTTAGAAAATAAATAAAGTACAGTTGAGGATGAAAGGTCGACCATGAAAGGGGTATGACATAGAACCACAGTGCAGAAGATTATAAAAAAGGAGGAGGAAAAAGCACAATGGAGTATAGATAGAAATGAATTGTAGTAGAGGAAATTAGATCAGATGACAACTACAATTCATTTCATAACAACCTCCCATAGGCAGTATATTGCTGCGTGAAAACCTAGTAGTCTGGTACAACCTAGTCTAACTTGACAGAACCCGATCCAGTCTGGTCTAGAAAAAAATTGGATCCAATCAATTAGATTGATTGGACTAGGTTAGGGGACTGAGTTTTCAGATTAAAGAGGGAGCCATTTTAATTCCCCTCATACCTCACTCACTTGTCATCTTTTTCTTATATTCCTATGACCAGCAAAATGCATATTCAATCAAATATTATATGGAGAAAATGATAATTAAAGACCGTGTAAAGACATTAATGATAATTAAAAACTTTAAATTAATAAAATGTTATGGACAGACCATGGTCGTTATTCATAATTAAAAAATAAATAATTATTAAAATAACTAATGGAATGTGACTCGTGAGAATTTAATTAAAGTTAGTTGTGAATTTAGATAACACTATTTGTGAATCAATGGAAAGTCAATTGTGAATGAATAGAGAGTTTTATGAATTTATATATCATCATTTAAGAATTTAAAGATTGTCATCTGTAAATTTTAAAAAAATTAATAGTAAATTTATGAAATTTCAATTCAGCCGTGAATGAATAAATAGTTTCATGAATTCATGCATAACTTATGATTCAGATACAATTAGTTGTGAATTTAAAAAACATTACTTTCAAATATATGGAATGTCATTTGGGAATGAATATGAATAGTCTTGATTGTGAATTAATAACATGTTTTTGAATATGCATTCACAAGTAATTTTTTTTATATATTTATAAGTAACTTTTTCAAAAACTCACAAGACATGGTTCTCCTTAAATTCCTAAGTGACAATTTATTCTTAAAACTATCTATTCATTTACAATTGGCTAGCTTAATTTTCATACCTTCACGAGTGTTATTTCTTAAATTTACAACCAGATTTTTTTACATTCATAAAATTGCAAAAAAGATTCAAAATTTGCAATAAAGAATCCAAAAATTATAGGCAAAGACCTATAAAATTACATAAAATGATAAATAAAATTTCCTTTTGCTATTTTTTGCATTTTTTTAGGTCTTTTTCAATCATTTTCTGCAAGTAATAGCTAAAGTTAATTTTTGTTAATGGCAGAGGTCAAATTGTACCATCTTCAAAAGTTGAAGGAGAATATTGCACAAAATGAGTTTAAGATTTCATATGCTTCTAGATCTATAATTTAGGGGATTAATTTACTCATTTATCCATAAAAATTTATAATAATAGAACCATTGTACTCCCTCTGTCCCAAATTATCGAGAACTTTTGAAGGAGTTTTTTTTATCTTAAAATATAAGACAATTTGGGTAAATTAAGGCTCTATTAAATGCACTAATTTTAATATTTTCCTTTTTCTCTCTATAATTAATTTATTTTCCTTCTCTTTTTAATATATTAAATGATGAGTATTCTTTAAAGTTTATATTTTTACTTTAAAATGATAAGATTGTTAAGTGTACTTAATAAAATTTATTAGTATATGAGATTTTATTTAAAAATATCTTATAATTTGATACGAAGAGAGTATAAAGTATTTTTTATTGACAAAAACTTTATTCATTTTCCAAATTTGTTTTTATATCTGTTTTTTCAAAAATAAAAATAAAAGGCCCGTCTTACATTAATACAATATATAGAGAAAATCACATATAGGTCCCATAGAAGACATTTAATTATCAAAAGGTTTCATAAAAAGTATAAAATATTCTCAAATCTTAAATCTTGTGCATTTATAACTTGACAAAAGGCATTTACAACTTAAGTATAAATTTAATAGCAAATTGTAAATGTCATTTGTCCAGTTATAAATACCTTTTGCAAAGTTGTAAATGTATAAGATTTGGGAATTGAGAATATCTCGTGCATTTTACGAAAATTTTGGTAATTAAATGTTTTTTGTAGGTCTTAGGTGTAATTTTCCCAAATATATAAGATTATGTTTACCATATATATTCACACACATATATAAAAGATTCTAGTATCAAATCGTAGCCATTCCCCATTAAGGATTTTACCACCCAAGATTCTCTTAACGCATTTTTATTTTTCTCTTCTTTACATCTAGATGTATTACTCTTAATATTTTGCTCATTAATATGTAGTAAAAAAAATTAGTCATTTAATCTTTATAATTTTAACTCAATTATAACTCAATCACTGAACTTTAACTCGTTTTATAATTTAGTCTTTATAGTTTTAACTCGATTGAAACTCAATCTTTAAACTCTGTCTCTTACAATTTAGTCTTTATAATTTCAACCACTTAAATATTAGTCTTTATATTTTAAAAAATAAAATTATAAAGATTAAAAATTTTAAAATATTGGTAATAAATTTTAGCATAATTTTAATCTTTATAATTTTAATACTAATATTATAAATATTAAAAATTCAAAATATTTTTTATTTTTATAATTTTATTTTTTAAAATTATAAGGACCCATTTAAGTGGTTGAAACTGTAGAGACTGAATTGAAAGAGATAAAGTTTAAAAACTGAGTTATAATTAGGTCAAACTATAAATATCAAATAATTAATTTTTTCTATATAGTATAATATAATATATGGCTAGTATTATTTATAACTAAAAAATAAGGCGCTTTGTGCTACATTTTACATTAATACATTAAATATTGAAAACAACTTAGATCAAATATAAATAGTTTAAATTTAAAATTCTAAAAAATGTTGATAAAATATTTAGATTAAGTAAATAAATGTGAACATCTCAAACTCATTTTAAATGTTTTAGATATCAATAAAAGGAATCCAATCATGGTAAAAATAAAAAGCATGAATGGTAATAGATGAAAAGGTAACGCCATTACACTCATCAATGAACTTAAAAAATGAGAAAAATAGAAAACCCTAAAGAAGAATAAAGGGGGGAAAAACTTCTACAATTAAAGCCCTAAGAATTGGTTTCAAGAAATGGATAATCAGTATAACCAATAACAGGATCAAGAGTATAAAATGTCTCTCTATTGTATTTGTTAAGAGGGGCATCAAGTTCAAATCTCTTTGGCATATCAGGATTTGCCAAGAACAACCGTCCATAAGCAACAAGATCCGCCCTATCTTCTGCCATCGCAATGTTGCCATCTTCTCGATCATAGCCTCCGGCAATGATGAATGTGCCCTTGAAGGCCTTTCTCATGGGCATAAGACTGTATTGACTCTTAACTTTTTCTCCAATAGTCTTCATCCTTGGCTCTACCACGTGGCAATACACAATACCATATTCGTTTAAAGAATTTGCCATGTATAGGCCAAGTTCTTGAGGATTGGAATCTTCACATTCACAATAATTTGAAAAAGGAGATAATCTGATTCCAACTCGCTCTGCTCCTATCTCATTAGTAACTGCTTTAACGACCTCCAATGGAAATCGACAACGATTCTCTAATAATCCTCCATATTTGTCTGTTAGAATGTTGACCTTATCTTTCATAAATTGATCAAGAAGGTAACCGTGGGCCCCATGTATTTCAACCCCATCAAAACCTAGACTCCATCAAACAAGTCATTATCATTTCAAACTTGTTGCATTTGGTTACAGAGTTGCTTCTCATATCATCCACGCAAAATGTTTATGCTTTGCTGAGTTAGCTGGTATTTATTTATCTGTTGCCATTAACTCATACTTAAGATTTGGCATCAACTATTTTTGATGAAGACAAATGTGACAAAGAAATTAACAACATTGAATTGGTTTTAAAAGAAAAAAAATTAATTATTTAGTTCTTATAATTTTAATTCAGTTAAAAACTTAGTCTATGAATTTTGATTTAGTACAATTCAATCTTTATAGTTTAGATTATATCATAAAATTTTAGTTTATAAACTTTGACTCAGTGCAATATTCAATCCCTATTTTTATTTTCAAAAAATGTAGGACTAACATTTTAGACAATTAAAATTATAAAAACTAAGTTGCATTGAATTAAAATATATGGATTGAGTTGTTGTCTAGTCAAAATTAGATGGACTAATTAAGTTGAAAATAGTTATATGAGTAGTAGTGCTTGCTTTTGATTAGATAGATGCTATTTATTTATCAGTTGCCATTAACTCACACTTGGATTTGGCGTTAGCTGTGACAAAGAAACAATATTGAATCATTTTTGAAAGGGAGAATTAAAATTTAATCCTTATAATTTTGATTGAGTTAAAACTCAATTGACTTGGTACAACTCAGTTTTTATATAATTTTGACTCAATAAAATTAGTTCCTAAACTTTGATTTAGTATAATCCAATTCCTATAGTTTTAATATAGTTTAAAACATTGGTATCTATTGTTTAAAAAATAATTTAGTTCTCATAGTTTTTTTAGTGAAATGTAGTGACTATTATTTATTTTAAAATGATTAAAATTATAGAGATTGAATTGTATTGAGTTAAAATAGAAAAAAAATGAGCTTTAATCAAGTCAAAATAACAAGAACTAAGTTAAAAATAATTGGTGAATATAAGTGCCTACTCTTGAATTAGGCAGACTAAATTGAACCTATATATAATGAAACTATAGAAGGAATAAAATTGTACTTGTTAAAACCCCCTTGAATTATAACGTAAAACTTTATTATGAACCTATAAATGGTATGGCTTGTAAACTCAACTGTGAAAAATCTTGCCATGGCTCATTTGTAAAATAAATTAGCTAGCTTTCACCCCACACACACACACGCACATATAGGCATGTTAGTAGGAAAAATACTTTTAAAACTAGTCAAAAAGGTTATTTTAAACTAGTCCTGCAATCAGTTTATATATGGGCATATGCCCCAGAAAAAGCAAAATAAATAAATAAACTTTCTAAATCGGTTAATTATCAACTTCCATATTTTAGTTACATACCAGCTGTCATAGCATTTCTTGCTGCGATTCTAAAGTGATTGATTATTTGTGGAATTTCATCTGTTCTCAACTTTCTTGGAGGTGTGTATTGTGCAACATCAATGCCATTACTTCGAATTTGAGGAGTCACTCCCTTGTTTGTGCAAGAAATTGGGGCTTCTCCATTTGGCTGAAACTCTATAATTCTAAACATTGTAAGTTGGGATATATAAAATATAAAATCAAATTTATCCGAGCCAAAGAATAAGTCAATGGTATGTTTGGATTAATAAAAATTTGAATTTAGATTTAAATCAAATCCCTCATTTAAATATACAAAAATTTATGAATTTAAATTTGATTCAAATTCAAATCCATTTTAAATTATAATTCATTTGTAATTTCAAATTTCCTTACTCTAGTCATTTAAAATTATAATTATTTCAAAAATTTTATTTTCTTTACATTTTCACTATTGAGACCTATTTAACTTTTGTATATTTACTTATCTCTTGTCAATTAAAAATAAAAATAAATTGATGATTTTTAATTTTTTATTTTCATTTCGAATCCCAGCTCATCTCTCATTTTCATTTAAAATTTTTTAAACTACTAAATAAAAATTGGTCAAAAAAAACTACTAAATAAAAGATTTTCAATACATGAATTTTAAATGTGAAGTTTGAAAATGTAAGATTTAAATGCAAATGCATAAATCTAAATGCTGCATAAAGTTGATAGATCCAAACAAATAGTGGTTTATACATAATCTTCAATAAATAGCATTTCCCTCTAATCAAGAATAGCAAAGTAGGGGTTGACATTAGTACAAAATATAAAATTTATGGGGTACTTTTTACATCGATTGGAAGGCAAATGGTGTAAAAAATTATGACGGTGGCATTTTTGTAATTATGTTAAAGTATTTGACACTTTTTACACTAGGTGGAGGTCAGACTGGTGTAAAAAACTAACTTTTTCCACTAAGTAGAGGTCCACCTGGTGTATCCACTTTTTACACCAAGTGGATTTACATCGAGTGGAGGTCCACTCGGTGTAAAAAGTGGATTTTCTACACCAGGTGGCCCTTCACCAGGTGTAGAAAATTTTTTAAATTACCCTCCTTTTTCTTGCATAGTTTCCTTCCCCTTCATTTGCTCTGCTTCGACCACCTTTCTCTCATTTCCTCCCCCTCCTTCCTCTTCCCATCATCGCTTGCCCTCCCCCTCCTCCTTCTCACCGCTCCCTTCCCCCTCCCCTTCCCCCAACCCCTCCGTCTCCATCTCCCCTTCTCCTTCTCCTTACCTCTCCCCCTCTGCTCCCCCTCCCCCTCCTCAATGCCTCTGCCCTGCCACCACTCCTTCTCCCCTCCTCACTCTCTTAGTGTTGAGCCGTTGCTGCAGCTACCGCCACCCATGTATGTCTTGAATATGAATTTTTAGATTTTATAATGCTTAAACTTAGATTTTAATAGTATCGATTGTTGTTGGGAGTACTGTTAGTGGCTTTATAAGGTATTAGATTGTTGCATGTGATCATTTATTTAGTTTAAAATTGTTAATTTTCTCATGTAAAATTTTCTAAAATTTTTTAGAAATCTAATTTTAAGGGAGACTTTGTCGAAATTTTTTTAAAATTCATTCTTTCCTCTAAATTGCTTAAGTTTAGTTTTAATGATATTGATTGTTGCTGGGAGTACTGTTAGTGGCTTCATAAGGCCTTAGGCTGTTGCATGTGATCATTTATTTAGTTTAAAATTGTCAATTTTCTCTTATAAATTTTTTTAAAAGTCTTAGGAGATCCAATTTTCAGGGGAGACTCTGCTGAAATTTTTTCAAATGTTAAGTTAATTAGGAATTTAGTTTCTTGAAATAGTTTGAAGGTAATAACATTAGTTATATTCTTTAGGAGGTGATACAGGGATCGTAATTGGATGAATGCTAAATGAACAAGTGACGAGTATGATAATGGGGTGAAAGAATTTTTAGAATTTGCAAAGAAAAATGCTGTTGATAGTAGTGAAAAGTTCTATTGTCCTTGTGTTAATTGTTTGAATGAGAGGAGACTAGGTGTTGCCAAAATAAGAGAGCACCTGGTTTGTGAGGGGATTTTCAAAAATTATACGATACGGATTTGGCATAGTAAACGATTGAACAATTATAGTAACACATCTTAATATGTGGAAGTTGATAATCTTGATGATGAAGTAAAAATGAATGAAGATCGGTTAAAGGACATGATCCGTGATGTTAGGGAAGAGGCTTTTGAACGAGCACATATGTATGATAACTAGTGCACTGACGCAAAGAAGCCTCTATACCTGGGGTGCACTGATTTTAGTTTGTTATTTGGGGTGCTAAAATTAGTTACTTTAAAGGCAAGAGCTGGGTGGAGTGACCAAAGTTTTACATGATTGCTAGAGTTACTTCAAATAAGGTTTTTGAAAGGCAATGCACTGCTAAATTGTTATTATGATGCCAAGAAGATCTTGTGTCCATGGGTATGAAGTATAAAAAAATACATGCGTATCCTAATGATTGTGTGTTGTACAGAAAAGAGCTTGAAGGGGAGGAGAAGTGTTCGAAATGTGAGGCACCACGGTAACAGAAAGGGGCTCCTAGAAAGGTCTTATGGTATCTTCCAATTATATTAAGGTTCAAGCATTTGTTTGCAAATACTAAAGATGCGAAGAACTTGATGTGGCATGCAAATGAGAGGATATCTAATGGAAAACTTCAACATCCAACCGATTCTCCTCAATGGAAGAAAATTGATCAATTGTTTCCCAAATTTGACAATGAGCCAAGGAACTTGAGGCTCGACTTTCTACCGATGGAATGAATCTTTATGGTAGTCTTAGTAGTATACATAATTCATGGCTTGTTCTTTTAGTGATTTACAATCTATCACCTAGTTGTGCATGAAATGAAAGTATATTATGCTATCCATGTTGATTTCAGGACCAAAACAACCTGAAAATGATATTGATATTTACCTAAGACCTCTGATTGAAGATTTGAAAGTGTTGTGAGAGGTAGGTGTGGAAGTGTTTGATACAAATCAGAAGGAGAATTTTAAGTTATGTATTATGATCTTTTGTACTATAAATGATTTTCCTACATAAGAAAATTTGTCTAGTTATAGTGTGAAAGGTCATAAAGCTTGTTCAATTTGTGAAAAAAGCACAAACTACCATCAACTTTAACATGGAAGAAAGATAGTCTACCTTGGCCATTGGAGGTTTTGCGTACCAAGCCTCCTATTATGTTTGAGGACTGGCCTAATGTGTCAGAATGTGTGAAGGAACTTATTTAGAAAAGTATTTAGGTAAATAATTAAAAATTAAAATTTTTTATGGTTATATATTATTGGGCAATTATTGATTATTATCTTATGTCTTTATTATAGCTCACATACAATGTTCCATCTAATCAAGATTGTTGATATAAGTTGATTTCTTACTGTGGAACATGTTGGAGGAAATTTTAAGACTGATCTTGCTAGAAGACATATCTTTTGTCGAGGTGCCAGAGGGTCAAGTTCGTCCCAATCCTTTTGATACATACTAGTTCCTTAATGAAGATACTTGAGAAGAATTCGTCAGGATTCAAACTTCTGAAAAAGCTTTGGTTTGTTGATTTTTAATTGATTTAAGTTTTATTTAGATTTACTTCAACTATAAAACCTAAAATTCAATTTATTAATAGGAAAACGAGCTAAAGGATGAAAATTGCTCGGCAGAATTAATGCCCCTACACCCTGTCTCATAGAGGTTATGCTAGAGCTGATGATACATTAATGGCAAAGAAACAGAAGAAGAGAGAAGAAGAAGCTAAGTCTAATCCTTCTATACTCCTTTCTCCACCATCACTTGTTTCTCGGGAGGAGAAATAGAGATATGGACATTAATACAGAAAAGGAGGCTATAAAAGTTGTCTCATGAGATTGTTGAGAGGATTGTAAGTAAAATTACTATTCCTTTTCTCTTTAAATTTCTATACAATTGTATATATTATTAATTAATATCGTCATTTTTATATTATAAGATGCTCTTAAGGAGTAACAAGCCCATGGAAGCTTCATTCCATTGGGCAGAAATGATATCTTAGCAGTTGCTACAAGCAAACTAGAGCATTCAGGTCGTGTGAGGGGCGTTGGATATGGTGTGGGCATTAAGGACTATTTTGGAGCACCTACACATCCCAATTCAGGAGGTGTAGTGACTAGAGAAGAGCTTTATACATTGATATCCACTGTGAGGCAGCAGACTAAGGATGAATTTGAAGCTTCATTTGTAGCTTGGCTTCTACAAATGAAAGAGAAAATGAAGGAGGAGATGATGAGCATGATGAGCTCACAACAAGAGACAACTGCTGAACTAGTTCATACGTTTCCTATATTTCATAGTATAAAAGGGAGTAATGTTCTTGAGCATGTGTCAGAAGGTCCTTCTGGTGACAACATTAGTAAACCATGTGAGATATTTTTGAAAGATCCTGATAGACGCTTGGTTGCTCTTAATAGCACATCCACCACAAGCAAGTTCAAAATGATCAAGTGAGAGTGGTGGTTGCAGATCCAAAAGTGCCAGATGTGTTGGTTCCATTCCCTATTGATAAGGTAAAGACTGTGGTTGAAGCTTAGTAATTTTATCCTATGGCCTAAGAGACTTGTGAATCTGGTTCAAGCTGTGGTACGAAATTTCATGAATTTTTATTATATAACATCTTCCTAATATATGTTTTTTATTAGTTATTTCTTGCCTTTTTATTATGTAGAAGCTTTTTTCACCGAATCTCTCGAAACTTCCACAACCCTCATTGACTTTGCATCAGCGAATGATCTTAATGGTATATGATTCATCATTTGAATTCAAGAGTTTAGAAATGGATCCAAAAGTTATGGGTAAGAAAGATATGATAGTGACAATTGAATAGAAATATTTGGTTCGACTTCTGTCAAATAATCAGCTTACCACACCATACATTGAACTATTTATGATGTAAGCATGATTTTCTTTAATATAATTGCATTGTTGTAGGTACCTTCATCATTTGTGCATTATATCAGGCAAAGGTGATAAGTTTGAATTCCTTTGCCCTCATCACATGACAGAGAAAGGTAATACTCCAGAGTTAAGGGCCGAGTACCTCTAACAAAGAATATGAGAAGTCAAAAATGACGTTTTTATGGCTCTATATGTGTACTCGTAAGGATCAATTTATAATTAATAGTTTTTTTTCAATATGAATTTACTTTAACTTGTATCATATTTAACAGGGACCATTAGTAGTTATTTGTTCTTTCAATGAAGAGCAACACTGTCATCTTTTTATGCTCCCTCCATTACAAATTTGGGAAAGAAATGAAGAAAATGATAGACTTGTAATAATACTTTTACTAAATTATTTAATTTAATTTTTTTGAACATATTATTTACTAACTTGGCGATCTTGATCATAGGGCAATGAGAACATATCAAAATATAGTCTTACAAAAACATAGACATGAGCTCAAGGATCCCACATGGATTGAGCCAAAAATAATGCTATACTTTATAATATGTTCTATTATTAAGATTTCTTACTAATTTCTTATGATTTATTCTTATACAGAGTCATAAACAATCGGTAAGGATAAACTTGTGCGGTCTATATGTCATGAGACACATGCTCAATATCATCACATTGGGCTCGATTGAATTCACAAAAGAGGTAAATATATTTTTAAAAATTTTATTTTATTATATTATTTGAGATTGATTAATACGCCTATTTTGTGAATCAAATTTTAGATGTTCGACAATTCGGATGCATTTTCAGAAGTTGAAATTGAAGATATCTGCATACGTTGGGCAACCTATTTTGTGGAGAATTTGTGAAATTTTTTATTAGTTTTATACAAGTTTTAATTTTGATAGTCGACACAATTTAAACAATTGTTAGTTTTTTTTAATAGTTAAATAGTTTTATATAGTTGATAAATACTTGATAAATAATTGTAAATGAATTGAGCTGTCTGATATAGAAATTTTTAGCAGCACAGGAATGGGTAAAATCGATAAAATAAATACAGTATAAAAAAATTAAATACTTTTTACACCGGTTATTACCATAACTGCTATATAATATAATATTTTTTACATTGGTTATGACAATAATCGATGTTAAAACTAGACTTTTAACATCGGTTGGCAATCCAACCAATGTTAAAAGTTTAAGTAATTTTTTATATTTTCTTGTATATAATTTTTAACATCGGCTTTATAACTGATGTAAAAATTTTAATTTTTATATCAAGTTTATAACCGATGCAGAAAAATGGACTTTCTACACCCTCTAGAACAACATTACCTCTTTAACTGGCGAAAAAAATCTTTTTTAACTGCTGTAAAAAGTTATTTTTGTATATTTACTTATCTGTTGTCAATTAAAAATAAAAAATAAATTGATGATTTTTAATTTTTTATTTTCGTTTCGAATCTCAGCTCATCTCTCATTTTCATTTGAAATTTTTTTTAAACTACTAAATAAAAAATTTTAAATACATAAAATTTAAATATGAAGTTTGAAAATGTAAGATTTAAAATTTAAAATTTAAATTCAAATCCTTGAATCTAAATGCTGCATCAGGTTGATAGATCCAAACAAATAGTGGTTTTATATATAATGTTCAATAAATAACGTTCAAGAATAGCAGAGGAGGGGTTGAGATTGAAAAGCATGTATCTTATACTTCAGAGATTACGTAAGTTTTGGGCTAAATTTTTTAAAAGTGAGAATTAATGACAGATAGATTAAAAATATATATATATATATTCAGAACATGAGTTGTAAGTATTTACCTAGACAATTGTAAAAAAGAATTTCAATTATAAGTTGATAGTTATATTTAGAATTTAAGTGTTTTATTTTGTAATTGAAACTTATGAATTTATAACTGTTTGCAATTTATTTATTTTAAAAAAATTATTGGATACCCAACGATTATTAATACCTCTGTTGACAATAACTTATATTATAATAAAAGAAAATAAGGAGAATTAATCTTATGCTCTGCACAACACCCTCAAATATCATAAAATTCATTCACAACCTGAACATGGGAAATTGACAACCATGTTAGTTGTCAACTCACTATAATAAAGTTGTTAATGGACTTGTAAATAATTTAGGATAAACAAAAATTAGCTCCTAAACTATATGTTAAAGAGTGTCTGAAATTTTAAATTTACTTTTGGTATTTTTTTCTCTTTAATATTTGAAAAAAACATGATCTATCCTTTGACATAAATAAAAATTAATTTTAATTATTAGTTAATTAAAAAATGATAGAAAAAAACATAAAAAATTACAAAAAAAATTCTTTTTTCTTTTTTTGTAATTTTTAGCCATTTATTTTTTAGTCAACTAACAATTCAAATTAACTTTTGTTAATAATAAATATTATATTGCATCATTTTCAAAAATTAGAGAACAATATTGCTCCAAAAATAAATTTATGGTTTCAGACGCTCCTAAATTTATAATCTAGGGGCTACTTTATTCTTTTACCCAATAATTTAGGATGTTATAACAAGAAAATATTTAAAAACCTAGGGACCATGACCCACACCAATTGGCAAAGCCATGATCTACTAATGAAACACGTCAAAACTCTGTGAGTTCATTTCATTGGAAAAACTGATATTTTACTAAAGCTAACTATTTTTCCTCAGACCAGAAAAATTACTATAAACTTAATTAGCAAGAAATAATTAATTAAAGTACCTGAACTTGAAACCCTTCCAGCGTGCCAAATCTGACAAAAGAAGATACCACCTTTGTCATGAACAGCATCCACAATTGGTTTCCATGATTCCACTTGCTCTTTCGTCCATATTCCTGGCGTTCTTGGATACCTTTAATTATATTTCAAAAGCCAATTTAAAAATAATAATGAGGAACACACATGGTATGAAAACTTATGAAGAATTAAGGGAAAATGGAGATAAAATTCCAGCCGAATTATATAAATAGTAATCTGGTCTCTCAAAATAATGTCATAATTTTATAAAGTCTTTAAAAACTTCTGTATCAATAAATTTTAAAGTGAAATAATCATTTTACCCTTAATAAAATGATAAGCCTTGATCACAACTTTTATATAAGAAATCACAACTTTTGTTTTGTGAGTGACAAGAATTGAATAATAAATCATAATTTGTTAGGTGTAATTTCTATTATTAAAAAATAAATTCTCAAAATAATAACCTCATTCATAATTTTTGTTTAACAAATAACAACTTTTATTCAAAAAATAGTAAGAATTAAACAAAATTCACAACTTGTTTATAGGGTAAAATAATCTTTTCAATTTAAAATTTATTAACAAAGAGGTCCTCAAGAACTTCAATGAAATTATAACATTTTAAAAAATCATATTATCATTTATATAGTTAAAAAAATTTTATTTTCATTTTTTTAAAATTTAATGATAATTAATTCAATAATTACGCTCGAGCAGTGTTAGAAATAGCAGCAGATTCAGCAATGAGAAGACCCCCTTTGGAAGTTCGTTGAGAGTAATATAAGACAACATGTGGCTGAGGATCATCATTGTAAAATCTCTGTCTCGTCAATGGGGCCAACACAACTCTGCATGCAGAAAGTAATTAACGCCAATATAATGTTCAGTGCCTGTGAAATCTAATTCCATGCATGCATGATTCCATTAAAACAAAATTTGTGGACCGTTTTGCCCTTGCCTTTTGATCATTCTCCCTGCCTTTTTTCAGATTTAAATCCTCAAAAGTTAAGATTCTGTAAATTTTAAAGAAAAAAGAGGAGATTTTATATTTATAAAAAATATAAAATGAAGATTTCATAGAAATTTATGAATCTCAACCTTAGAGAATTTAAATCCGTCTCTTTCCCCCTCCTCCTAATTATCTCCCCTTTCATTTCCTCTCTTTTGGAAACATATTTGGAAAAAAGGACACATAGCTTAGGCAAAAATCTGCAATTTATTTTCATGTTCTACATTTTATCTTTGTCATTCTGCATCTTTTCTTCCATATTCTAATCTGTAATTCAGGTCTTTTTCTTATGCGTTTTCCAATAGGTTCTTAATCTCAATTTTCCCAACCCTTTTCTTATCTCATCCTCTCATTCCCAACTCTCTTCTTCCTTTTTTGGACTTGGTTTCTCTTGATTATATTTTTCTCCACTGCACCTCCACTACTAATTTAAACCATTCAAATTAAATTTTAACTATACAAAATAATCTAGACATCGTAAAACTATCAAATCTAAATCATCAAATTCAAGCGATCCAATTTTGTAATGCTAACTCCGCTCTTTTTACTATTCCCCTCTCTCTAATTGTATAGATTAGAGAGAGTGAAGCCAAATCTAATTATTTCAACTCCCCCCCTCTCTCTTTATTGGTATGTGCATTTTTATTTAAAAGTCTTTAATAATTTGGATTGAAAGAAGTATGTTATATAGCCATGCATGTTTGCTATGTTGGAATGATGATTTTTTTCCTCTTTAATGAGTTGAAACATGAAAGGGAAATGGAATAATTGGCCTTAATAGTAATGGACTTGAGGGTGTAGTAAATCTGCAATAGAGCTATTGAAAAGAGAGAGGGACGAAGATTAAATACAAAAAAGATATGGGTAATATTAGAATAAATATATTTAATAAAACTTTAATTTTTTAAAATGTCGTATATTTTGAGAAGTCGAATTCTAAAAAATATCTTATAATTTAAGATAGATGGAGTATATTTTTAGGATTCCAATACATATGCAACTGATTTTTTATAATACGTTTATTACAAGTGAGAAGTAGCGGTGAGCATTCGGTCGGTTTGGTTTAGATTTCTCTAAAACTAATTCACTGAATTTTATAAAAAATTTGGATTGAATCGAATCGAAATATATAACGAGCTGAATTTTAATGATTCAGTTTAATCGGTCTATTTGATTTATGGGCTTTGATTTGGGTCTGTAAAATTTAATTATTCATATATTCTTCTATCCAATTTTTTTTCCTTGATGTTGAAGGCCCAACAAAAAATAACAATTTTATACCATAATTTATGAGAAAATTAATAAGATTTAGTACTATTACACTAAAAACTAAATTATAAAAATAAAAAATTAGAACATCACATTAAACCAAAAAAAAATACTATTGCTGCAAGTAGTAAAAAGATGTTTCTTACTCACCTAAATGAGAATTTATTTACATTTTTAAAAATATGAAAGGAAAAATATAGATGATTTGATTGGTTCGGTTTATTTAATTCTTGAATTCTCGGACCGAATTGAACTGATTAACTAAAATTTTATTAAAAGAAAACCGAATCGAATTGAAAAACTGAATAGACTGAATGAAATAAACAAAATTTGATTTGATTCGGTTCGATTTTCAGTTTCAATTCAATTTTGCTCACCCCTAGTGAGAAGGATATACGTACGGTCTTGAAGAATTGAAATTAATATAGTACCAAAGCTATTCTATTTCTTGCAAAGTTATTGTAGAAAAAATTCAGAATTTTTTTAATTCTATACATGACCCAAAATAATGCACATTTATAATTAAACACCGAATCCACATGAATTCATAGCACAAAATTAAACAATGAAGAAATTCCTCAAGAATTAATGTGAATACCTATGCGATAGATTGAAATTTCCCATCTTGTAGGGTGTAAGCAGAGGAATAACAGGTGCTTCACCAGCCATTGATCAGCACAGAAATAAATTTATTCTGAAAATCAAGTTAACACCTTTGGAGCTTTAAAAAGCTAATTAAAGATGGCTTTAGACAAATTTAGACAAAGTTCATACCTATGTCTAAATTTATGGGGTATAAATAGATACATAGAACATTAATTAACTCTTTAAGGGATTTCAATGTTAAAATTTATATTATTTTTATTTAAATATCTAATTGTATTTATTTTTTTTCATACACCTTTGGAGCTTTAAAAGAAGCTAATAAAAGATGGCTTTAGACAAATTTAGACAAAAGCATAGCGAGGAGGCATTTTAAAGCAGAGCCGAAAGGTCATTTAGAAGCCCCATCAACGTACACAATTAAAATTGAAAGGTTTAAAAGGTCAATATATTTTATATTTTTTAATTTAAAATATGCTATAAAATTAATTTATCAATAATGGATCACTAATTGTTACCTTTGCATTCATTCAATCTTTGAGAAGGGCTTTAAAATATGGGGTGAAACAAGAGGATAGACTCATAGATTGATATGTTTGGAAATAGATTATTAATTGCCACCATCTTTGTTTTTCTATTCTTCATTGAAACATTAATAAATGTCATCGTCATGTACTCGGCTCATTTCTACACGGAATTCTAACTATTTGTTTTTTTTTTGTTTTTTTTTTGGGCGAAGTAAGTTTATCTCAGCATCCTAGATAGCTATATAATCAAAATATTTTTTTAAGTAAAAAGTTAGGACTTTGGAGTTTTTCTAATATACGCTGATCTAAGTTCACTCTTTCTCTTGCATTATGCCAAGTGTATGCTTGTCGAGTAGATGATGAAGGGTATGTTTGGTTTTTTCTTTTCTAAAATTATTATCTGTTTTAAAAATAAAAAAAATAAAAAACTTGTTTTGATAAGTATTTTAAAGTTAATTATTTTTAAAACTCTTTTCATTTTTTATTTTTAAAAACAAAAAAATGAAAACATCTTAAAGTTACATTATTTTCAAAACACACTATATTTGATTATTAGAAAATATGGTTAGCTTGTTTAATTTTTATCATAAGCCATTAATATTAATTGCCTGCAATTATCACTAGCAGCCTATTTTTAATTTTATTTTAAAACTTTTTCACATCAACATTGCCAAATAATTTTGTTTTATTTTGTTTTTGTTTTGAAAAGCAATTCTAAAAACTATATTAAAAAAATGGGAATACAAGCGAAAACATATTTGCTTCATGTGTAAGTTTTCTTCTTTATACCATATTTGCTCCTTTGCTTCTTCTTCTTGTGTCTACATGATGTGTATGAAGAAGAGGAGGTTGAGTGGCACCCTTATTTCTAATTCGTATATATTACCGTTAAAAAAAATAAAAGAAAGATTATTAAAATCATTTTAACCCTAAAAAATGAAAATCCATGATATATATATATATATATATATATTGCCATACTGGACCCTTTTAACGTAACAATGTAATATTGAAACACTTTTGTAAAATTGTGAATCAGTGAGAGAATCATCTATTCCTCTCAAAGATATATACCAAATTATCTAGAACATTAATAGATAATATTAATCTTGTAACTTGACTTATAATTAATAAGGAAAAATAGAAAGGAACTATCAATTTCTTTTTAAGATAATATAATTAGGGAGAAAAATAACAAATATTTTTATACCCTCTAAAATAAGAAAATTAATGACAAAATATATTTCATTGTTAAAATTAGCATGCGTGTTTTTTGCTTATAAAATTAGCAAAAGACAAAATATCTCTGTATTTTCATTCAGCAAGGTTATATGCCACACTCACTAAATATATATATATATATATATATATATATTTAGTAGGGGAGGGGTTTGGCTTTTTTTGAGTCGGATTGTTCACTATCTCTTAGGCAGTAGTATAGGAAGCAATTTAACATTAGGTAAAAATAACTTTTTACACTAATTGATTATGAAAAACTTTTAAATGATAGTAGATCACCTCACCTATTTACAAACATGTCATCATCTCTTGTTTTTTACATTGGTTTTCTTTTATTTGGTGTAGAATGGAGGTGTAAAAACCTACTGTTGTAATACAGTATTATAGGGAGGACCAATAGAAAGAATAGGATGTTAGATGAAAAAAATTTATATAGAAATAAAAGGTTAGTCGAAGGAGCTGTATCCAAACAAATAAAATGGCTCAAACCCCAAATAAAAAGTTAAATTTAATATAGGCGGGATGACATTTAAGTCTTAAGAGGTTAAATTAATGACAATTAAGCCTGAATTTTTTTTTTAAAAAAAATTATAAATATTAATTCAAATAGTTACGCATAGTAATCTTAATTACAAACAAAAAATTATTCAAAATTTTAAAATACATTATTTGTAATTGAGGCTCATGAATTCGTAATTTTTTGAATTAATTTTTGCAATTTATTTTTTAAATTAAGTTATTAAGGATTTGAATATTGTTTGTTCATTCTTTTAGGATTTAACTATCACTCTTTAAACTATACAGAATGGTCTTGAAAAAAAAGAAATAGAAAAGAAAAAGCAAAAAAAATTTGCGTCTAAATCATTAATGTATAGTCTTTTAACAAATTATTATTTCTTCTCTACAACTAAAAGCAAAACATCAACTAACTAAAATTTATGCAAGCTTTTTATAACACTCATAACTTTTAAAGCAATTAGAGGTTATTTAAATTTTTTTTTTTTAAATTCTAAGCCCAAAGTAATCCCACAATACTCCAAGAATGGCCCAATGAAGTCCCAAAATGAACAACCCAGCCCAAGAGGCACCAAAAAAAAGTGTTTCTTCACCACGAGCTCCATTTTGACTGGCAGAGAGGAATTTTGCAGCAGCCAAGTAAGGTGATTTTACTTGACGATTTTTTAATGGTCAAAAAAAGTCAAACATTTTATAAAAATCGAAATTATATATTAACAAAACAATATATAATTAGGTTAAAGTATATTTTTTATCATTTAATTTTATACAACATTTTATTTTGATCTCTTAATTTTATAAAATTTACTTTTTTAATCTTTTAAGCTAACATCATAATTTCATCATATAAAATTTTTTTTACATCAAACTTTTAAATATTAATAAAATATTTTTAAATGCTTAAGTATTAAGTTTAATTTTTTTAAAATAATAATAATTGACGTAACAAATGATTATTTAAAACTATTAGATGATTGAAAAAATATTTTATAAAATTAAAAAATTAATTTAAAATTTTATATAAAGTTAGAGGAGGAAAATACACTTTAACCTTTACAATTATTACTAATATTTTGCTTAACACTAAAGCTGATGTTCACTATATCAAAAAAAATGAATAATAATTTAAAATAATAACCGGTAACAATAATCAGTTATTAAAATTCCACTCAACATCGTGTTTGCATATCATTAATTGGCAGCAGAATTAGAGTTTGGTTTTCTTGCAACATAGAGTATATAGGAAAACGAAGACCCAACTTGAATGAAGCTCGTAACAATTATAGATGTCCAATGAGATTTGGACCCAACTTGGAATCTGGGCTTTTGTGACCTTTTTGATGTGTGGGCTTGTTTAGTTCTGTGTTTTTGTTTTTATATTGTTAAAATAATTTTCAAAACAAGTTTTGAAATAAGAAGTGAACAAAAAAATTTGAATCATTATTTTTAAAAAATATCTCAATTGGTAAAATGAAAGGTGAAAGAATAATTTATTTTATAACATAATTATAAGCATAATATTTTTTGCATTTTCTTTAGTTTTGGAGAATAAAGGGTACAAAATATATATTATTTTAGTTATTTAAAACAACTTTTTAACTATTTGATTTTTCATAATGGATAACCAAAAACATATTTTCAAATATTTTTTTTTCATTTTTTTTTTCAAAATAAAAAATTGTTATGAAAACAAATAATCAAACAAGCCTAAATAGCTCATGTAAATTTTTTGTGGCCAATAACCTACAAGCGTGGGATCAAATATCATTGTTGATGTGAATATTGTTAATTAGTGGGCAACTTGCATGCAAAGTTTAAGAAACTAGACTAGTCATTGAATCATTAGTTAAGATATTAGTTTAATAATTAATGATCAAAACCATGGTTAAATTGTGATCAAATCAACCATAAACAAAGTATTTATTAATCCAATCTAGATACTTATGGTTTAATGGCTTATTGGTTCAATCAAGCCAGATTGAATTTGAATCATGTTCTAGCTTTGATGAATTCATGAGATTTAATTTACTTAAACTTTTTTTAAAGCAAAAAAATGACTTATTTTTGAAGAGAAGATTGTTGGAGTTTAAATGTGTGTTAATAGTATTTTATATTGGATAAAATTAGATTGGAGAAGCACACGCACCAATAATAGCCCTTTTTCATTTCAAACTTTAACTTTAGTTATATAAATTGAATGTTCTCTATGGGTACATTATTGAAAATAAAAAGAGAGCAATACAAAATTTGGGTTTTTTCTTTGTTTGTTTGTTTCTTTTTTTCTTTTTTTTTTTGTGGGTTGGGGCAACGAGATAGTCATTAATATAAAAAATATGACTTTGTATGAAGTCCACCTCTTATATTATGCTCATTTAAGATGTGGTTTTAGTGAATTGGACGGATTTCTGGCATACTTTCGATAGAAGAACTTTGAGAAAAATATAATAACAGATTCATGTACTTTAATTATTTTTTTAGTACTTGTAATTTTTTTCATTATTCCTAATCTCTTTAATTGATTTGATTAATTTGCAATTTTTGGTCCATATAATTTCTAAAAATGTACATAGAATAACCCATGAGATGACACTACTAACAGAGTTAGTTAATTTTTCTGTAACTTTGCCAACTCCTTTATTGATATAAAAATAAATTGACTAAGTATAATATTAAAATAAAAAGCTGGTAAGGGAGAAAGAGTTTAATATTTGGCTTAAATAAAATGGGGGACAAATTAATATATTTCAAGTACAAATAGTAAAAGGGTTAACATAGTTAAATACA